GCCAAGGGACAGATCAGGAGTATACTCTACAAGTTAGGTCGAGCAGATCTGCTGATAGATCACATAAGAGAAGAATCACAGAAGACAACTAAACGCTGTTTATCTTAAGCAACTAAATGAACAGTAGGCATGCATTTCTAACATGAGACAAACGGAAAAGGGGAAAATCCAAAGTTCCGTTTTGGACAAGTTAGGAATTTGCTACCCACAAGGGCAGCAAGCAGTTCAGACCCAGCAGCTACTCCACAGGAGAAAGATGAGGCTGCCTACTTGCGTAAAGATGTAAAGTCTCAGAAACCAAAAGGGATAACTCTACCCTATCCTACCGGGTGGCTGTGAGTTGCAATCAACTCGAGGCAGTGAGCTGAGTTGAATAAAATAAAAGTGGATGTGCTGGGGGGTCTAATTCAGTAGTCTGGGATTATGAGATCAGAATTAGAGATACAAAGCTACTGTTCACACACAGATGATACTTAAGGCGATGGGAGTGGACAGACCACCTGGAACCAGGCAGGGTAAGCAAACTGCTGCTACTGGCACACTCCCACACCCAGTCATTTATGGCTGCTCTCTGGCATCATGGGCAGGGCAGTTAGTTGTGAACGGAGACTGCCTGGCTCACTAAGCCAAAATATTTTCTTTCCAGCCCTTTAAGAACTAATCTGGATGATGGAGTGAATACAGAAAGACAAGAGCGTGCACACAGCACAAAGCTTAGGGCAGTGCAACCCCGACAAGTGGAGCAGAGAACGCGGACATAAAGCACAAAAGGAACCGGAAGTGGGATAGGAAGAAATTCAACCACGTGGGATGTCCTGGAAGCCAGAAGCAGAAAATATTACAAAGATGTTTTTCTGTGACCACCCCTTCCCTTCTATAGAAACAGGCTTACGAAATCTCTCTAAGAGCATGCATTGACAGGGAAGGGAGAAAAATGAGATAAAATACTGAAACACTATCTCGTGGATTTAAGGCACCTCACCAGATATAGAATTAAAGTAATCTTTACTTAGGAATAAATATGAATGCTCATCCTTCAAAATGACCTGTTTCTTCTTTTTACACTAAACTCCTAACTCTTCACTAATGATTATCCTCACTTAATATCACTGTCCAACTATAACACTAGCAGGGAGCAATATGCAAAGAAAATATATACTTAGGGCGCAATTACTTGAGAAAAAAAACCTACATTAAAATGTTCTAGGATTAAAGTGGTCATCATGAAATTAATTTTATGAACAACAAATCATTTAATTGCAAGAATAGCCCCAGGATACATCAGAGTCCCAGGATGTTTCCCCTGGAAGCGACACGTAAATGTGGCAGGGCAATGGACGCAGCGCTCAGATTTAAGCCCTGGCTCTTCAGTATTAGAGATGTGAAAATGGTCAAGTCATGTGGGCTTTGGAAATAGCTTAACAGATTGTTTATAGGACAAAGAAAGAACTCATTTTGAGCAGGAGGGTCATACAATTACATTTAGTTAACTAAAAATGGCTAAGTGTCCTATGCCTAAAAAAAAAAACCCTCCTCTATTCAATACTGTTCAAACGTAACAGGAATGCTCCTATTTCGGAATTCCCCATTCAAATCTGCAAACATGCACCAAGAATGCAGAGACCACCACACAGAACAACGTATTACATGAATCTAAATTCTACCTATTTTGCAAGGCCCTATTCGTGTTACTTCGTTCCTTCAGGACTATTCAAGGTAACCTAGTCCCTCAGAATTGCTTTTCTCTCCTTAAAGTCTTTGCCGTTCACAGATTGTGCATGCTCATTTTGGGAGGAGATTCCTAATGTGATTGCGAACTCCTTCAAATATGCCATTTCTTTTACTTCTATGTAACCCATTGCTTCATAAACTTAAGCACTGAAAGAATGTGGTGATGATGAGTATGTCCATAGGATTTTCGTAGAGGTTAACTATACAGAAAGGCTTAAATAGAAATTTATTTGGAAAAACGTATAAAGTTTAGAAATCAGTAATTCCTTTAATCTGAGAAAGGGGAAACCAACAAACCCACAAGAGTTCCCTAAGCAAGACATTGGACAGGTCAAGATATGACAAAATAATTTATAAATTATCAAGGGTTCATGAGGGAGGGGGATGTGGGGAGGGAGGGGACAAATGAGGTCCTGATGCCGGGGGGCTTAAGTGGAGAGCAAATGTTTTGAGAATGATGAGGGCAATGAATGTACAAATGTGCTTTACACAATTGATGTATGTATGGATTGTGATAAGAGTTGTATGAGCCCCTAATAAAACGATTTGAAAAAAATAGAGCATCCCATTTGCCAGCATAGTCCCTAAGGACCAAAGAAAATGAAAAAAAAAAAAAAAAAAAAAGGAGTTCCCTAAGCACTTTTAGGTCTACATTACCAAGATTTTCATAGGTCACTGATTTGAAACCACACCTTCTGCACTATAGACGTTCAACATTCCTGGAGGGGTTTCTGTGTAAGCGCTGGACTGTTAGTGGACAGGGCAGTGGTTCAAAGCCACTAGCTGAGCAGCAAAAACAAAGATGAGCCTGTCAGCTCAACCTCAAAAGATTACTGCCATGTTGTTGATTTTTGACCCATAGCAACCCTATAGGACAGAGTAGAATTGCCTCTGTGGGTGGTCCAGAATAAATCTTTGCAGGCATTTCTAGAAAGCCTTGTCTTTCTCCCTTAGAGAGACTGGTGGTTTTAAGCGGTAGGCCTTGTGATTGGCACTCAAACACACAGCCCATTATATCACCTGGACTCCTATTTACAGCCTACAAAACCTATATGGGGTTGCTATGGGTCAGAATCCACTCAAAGGGTTTTCTTTTTTCCCCCTCCTTGTTTAAGGAGGCCTGATGGTATAGATGAAGCACTGGACTGCTAACCCCAAGAAAGAGATCTCCTCAGTCCCGTTAAGTCAGAATCAACTGGAGGACATCGAGTGTTTTAACATACTGAACATTTTACTCCACAGCTCCAGGAGTAGAGAGGGTTTTGTCTGCTTCATTCACTGCCGAAACCCATGCCTGGCTCTTAAGAAACTCCTAGTTGTCACCTCTTGAATGACTGAACCAATCAATCAGAAGCATGAATAGGTAAATTGAGGGATTGTTATTTCAGACAATGAAACTATCCCTTATCTCTTAAAAACAACTTGAACACTATACTGGGCACCCAGTGTGCTCAATCCATTCTGGGAGAAAATATGCCTGAAAAGACCTTTAGATCATCAGTCAACACTTGGTTTAGCTCTGTGTAATCGTTTCTTTTCCAAATGTCACCAGGTATTTTTGAATCAAATTACCAACTCCTTAACGAACTGCTGGAACCAGGAAGTACGGCAAATATTATCAGCTGTGCCCACGAGGTACGTCAAACAATATAGTTCTACATTTCACCTTCCGCACAGGAGGTACTTGCTTTAAAAGAATTACCTGGTTTAGGAACCTCACACACAATTCACCATTCACCAGATTGCTTACGGGCTTTAACTAATTTTCATTTATGCTTCATTTATTTCTCTTTGCCAGACAATACTGGCTGAGGCAAAGATCATGTGTCACCTCCACACAGCCTTGTGATTTCTATTTGTCTGCTGAATTTGCTAGCAAGTTCCATAATGTGTCATTTTAAACTTTACCCCCACCCTGCAAATCATTTGATAATGACAGGCAACTGAGTCACCACCACAGTCCTTGCAGGTGGTGACAGGGGGGACAGGGGTGGTGGAGATCCCGCTAATACCCTGTAGGAGTGACTGTGAGTAGACTCACCTTCTCTGACAAAACGCCACACTGCAGCCTACCTGTCTGACACAGATTTAACAGTAAAAATCAAGTTGTAGCTTCTCGGGTGCCTAACAGTAATTTAAGTCATTGAACAAATTCGGCAGTTTCTTTCCTTCAGAGCAGTACTAGGAAATCACTTTTATCACCAAACCTCAAGGGGAACAACATTGCACTGAAACCTAACCTGACTTGTGAAAGCCTTCCCAATCTTTTATCTCCTACTTGTTCTTCAATCTCAGCTGCTCCACAGGAACGTACTCAAGTTCCATGCAGAATTTCTCTCTCCCACTCTCCCACTGTCTCAACAAGTCTGAGAATTACCAGAATAAGAGGCAGGAAGGCTGCCCTTTTTAAGCTTGTAGCCACTCAAACCTGAAAACCCCAGCCGCTGTCCCCAAGTTGGTTCTGACCTTTCAGGGCAGAAGAACTGCCACATTGGGTCTCCAAGGGGTATTCTTCTGGCGCAGACTGCCCCATCTTCCTCTGAGCGGGTGCGGGCCCTTTCTGCATCAGTGAGGCACTTAGCCACTGAGCCATCGGGGTTAAGCACTGAGGAGTCACTCAGGAAGCATTTTTGTGCTCGGGATTTCCCTATGGTGAAATTCATTCCTTCAACCCCAACGGTTCTTGTGTCAGATATGGGTTCGCACGGACGGTTTAAGGATCACACACACCACTCCGGACATCCAAAAAGCCGAACCCACGGTCCTTTCTGCCTATCCAATCTCTCCCACTTTCCATCAACTCCGTTCAACTGTCACCTGGCCCACGATGATTTCCTGCCCTCCGCCCTACCACCCAGCCCGTGCTTGGCCAAGGCCCCATCACAGGGCCTCGAGCCGCTCCGCAGAACCCGGGCAAAGCCTGGGATTCCGCCTCTCACGACTCCCGTGGTGACCTTGGCGCGACTCTGAGCCTCAGCACCTCACCTGTGACACAAGGGTACCAAACGCCATCTCCTTACTGGGACACCACGAAGCATAAGAGAAAACGTTTTTAAACTGTAGAGAAAGGGAACGTAGCGACACCAGGGACGTGGTAGGGGCTCCCTAAAGCTTAGCTCCTTCGCTCGCAAACGCCAGCTCAGATTTCCGCACCCAAGGGCCGCAGGCTCGGGACAGGCAGACGGCGGCGGGCTGCGCGCGCGGCGCACCCCGCGCACCCCGGCCGGAGGCGCCTCCCCCCCGGGACGGCCCGCCCTGCAGAGCCTCACCTTGGTGGTCGTAGACGCTAATGTAGGAGACGCCCACGGCCATACACCACACCACGAGGGTCGCGATGTCCGAGAAGCTGGGCTCCGGTGCCTCCTCGGTGATCACCAGGCCCATGTGCACCGGCAGCTTCTCCAGGGAACGGCCGTCCGCGCGCCAGCGCAGGCGGGAATGGGCGGGCGGGTGCCGGTAGAGCCGGCGATTCCGGCCGGCCACCGGGGGCTTGCGGAGGGCGAAGCCGAGCGACGCTAGGACCGCGGCGGAGGCGGCACGGCAGCAGCGCCGCCAGATCCAGTTCCAGGTGCCGTACCGAACGCGGAGCCAGAGGGTGAGCGTGCGGTGCAGACAGAGCAGCGCGTGCGGCACCCGCCACACCAGCTCGTACAGCCCCGTCATACTCTCGTGGAGTCCATCGGTCCTCCGCTCCCTCCTTCCCAGGCCAACGGCGCAACGGATTTTTATCCGCCTCTGAGGCCGGGGCGGGCCATCACTCCGGATCCCCCCCGCCCCCGGCGCCCGAACCCCTTTCTCCTGCCAACACCTCACCTCGCCCCCGCCGCCATCTTCCTACTCCCCCGGCAGCCCCGCCCCCGGTAGCACATGGACATTTCTGATTGGTCTAGGTGTCTCTCTGACGTGGCTTCTGGCTCGGCGGCTCGGAGGCTATGGACTTGTCCGGTGGGCAGAGGGGGTGTGCGTGCCTGCGAGAGGGGCGGGCCGGGGACCGAGGGCGCCCCCTGGCCGTGCGGAGGACGAAGAATGAGCGCCAGGGATCTTGGGCAGAAGGTGCAGCGAGCACACGTCATCAGGGTTCAAAGGGACCATTCCTGGGCTTGGCGACTCTCGGGTCCTGTCGGCCACACGGCCTCACCAGAAAGGATTTCTAAGTGATAAAAATAGTCCAAGAGCACCAAAATGACAAACTCTGCGGGCCAAATCGATACAAGGGGAAGTGTCCTTAGGTATGCCCCTCAGGTCCCTAGGCTATTCGTTGGCCATATTGCCCAACCACCCCCCTACCACCACCACCCAATACCTCTAATTCACTGCCACCAAATCAATTCTGACTCATACCGTTTCCCCAAAAATAAGACAGTGTCTTATATTAATTTTTTCTCCCAAAGATGCGCTAGGTCTTATTTTCAGGGGATGTCTTATTTTTCCATGAAGAAGAATATGGTACAAATTTATTGTTGAACAACAACAAAAAGGAAATTAATTACCTGTATACGCCATGTTTGTGGTTGTCATCACAAACCAGCATAACCAGACAAACTGAATCCTACAGTATCAAGAATTTTTTGTTACTACCATTATTTCCATGTACAACAATCTATGGTACATTTACTCATTTATTCAATGACAGTCATGTCATCATCTTCTGGAACATCATAACAATCCAAACCCTTATTTTCAGGGAGGTCTTATTTTGGGGGGGATGCCTTACTTTCGGGGAAATAGGGTAGATAACCTGTAGGACAGAGCAGAACTGCTCCTGTGGGTTTCCAATGCTGTAAATCGTTATGGGAGCAGAACGTGTGTTTGTCTCCCATTGAGCAGCTGGTGGATTTGAACTTCTGACCTTAAGGTGAGCAGAGCAACTAATCTTGTTAGTTTTCTTCCATTCTTTTCTGACTCATAGCCAACCTGCGAACAACAGGACAAACACCACCAGGTCCTGCTCCATTCTCACAATCGGTTATGTTCGAGCCTATTTTTAGCCACTGTCATCTATCCTGTCCAGGGTGTCTTTCCGGAGTAGAAGTGAAGCTCTTTAGTAGTTTTAGTAGTTTTCCTGCAACATAATTCTGCCAAAATCATTCCCTCTAAATGGAATCTTTACATACTTTTTGCTCCATGCTTATAATAGTTTTTTCTTTTGATTATTATTGCTACCTTCTATTATCAGAAGCCCTGGTGGCCATGTGGGTTAGGCCTTGGGCTGCTTACAACAAAGTCAAGAGTTCAAACCTCCCTAGTCTCTAGGTGAGAAAAAAATGAGACTATCTGCTTTTATACAGATCACAGTCTCAGTGATCCTGAGTCTAAATCCACTCAATGGGCATAGAGTCTTGTTTTTCTTTTTTGTTTGCATTTGAGTTATTTATTTATTGGGGTTTTTAGTTGGATTAGAGCAGTGGTTCTCAACCTTCCCAATGCTGCCACTCTTTAATACAGTTCTTCATGTGTAGTGACCCCCAACCATAAAATTGTTTGTTGCCACTTCATAACTAATTTTGCTACTGTTATGAATCGTCATGTAAATATCTGATATGCAGGATGTATTTTCATTGTTACAAATTGAACATAATTAAACATAATTAAAGCATAGTGATTAATCACAAAACAATATGTAATTATATATTGTGAAATATTTATGTGTTTTCTGATGATCTTAGACAGTGGTTCCCAACCTTCCTCATGCCACGGCCCTTTAATTCAGTTCCTCATGTTGCAGTGACCCCCCCAACCATAAAATTATTTTCATTGCTACTTCATAACTGTAATTTTGCTACTATTATGAATCGGGCAACCCCTGTGAAAGGGTTGTTCGACCCCCAAGGGGGTTGAGATCCACACGTTGAGAACTGCTGGATTAGGGTATGGACTCAACATTAAATTTGGGTTGGGTTTAATAGTAATATCTTTCTAGCCCTGATCTTTGTGTTTGGTGGTTAGCAAAATTACATAACATCTGAGATGGATAACGTCAGCAGATTCCTTGTATTGCAGTACATATTCTGATATCGTCATAAATTGGTCATAAATTGAATTTGGATAGGTCAAAGATTGAGATCTAAGTCAACACATAAAAGAGACACCACCTGACTGGCAGGCCAATGACTTCATTATTTTATTCATTCATTCAGCAATCAGCTATCGAGGGCCAGCTATGAATTAGATTGACAGTGGTAAGGAAAATAGACGGGGCCCCTGACCCCAGTCCCCGCCACCATTTAATGTAAACAGCCTTATCTTCCCTTTCACATTTTCTATGATTTTAGCCGACCTGTGTTAACACGTGGTCCCCTGACTCAGTTTCGTGCTTCGCGGCAGTGCTCTGTCTCCTTTTTGACCCTCTTTGCTCAGGCTCTTCACGCTTCTGGAATTCCTGTCACCTACCTAGGTATTGCCTCATCCCACCCCTTTCCTGCGTGCCGCCTCTGCCACAAACTCTCCTTGATCCCTTCTCTGACTACAGTCTGGACCTTCTTGTAAATCCCCTGGCTGTTTGTAAACTCCCCAGTCCTGTTTACAATATTTCCTCTTTTTCATTATATGTAATGAATTTTTTTTATATGTATTTAAATATTAAAATATTAAAATTTTTAAATATGTATTTAATTTTTGTAACCAAGAAAAGCCCTTGCCATCTGGGCGGTGGCTCAAATGGTTAAGCACACAATTGCTGGCTGAAAGACTGGTGGCTCAAACCTCCCTGCATTGGAGGACTGGCCTGGCAGTCTACCTGTGAAAGACCACAGCCTTGAAGACCTCTTGGATCGGTTTGACTCTGACATTCGTGAGGGGTCACAACATTTTTTTTAAATTGTTGTCCGGTCAGTTCTGAGTCATGGTGACCCCGATGTGTTTCGGTGAGAACTGGCTCCGTGGAGGTTTTGCTGACTGCGAGACTGCAGTAGACCTGAGCCCTGTCTTTGGAGTAGTCTCCGGCCGGCGGTCTTTCTTTTAGTAGCGCAGTGCTGACCTGACACCTAATTGTTGTTCTCCCCAAACACCCTTTTCCACTGGGAAGCATCTCTTAACACCTTGGCTCCCTGCCTTAATTATTTAACCATGGTTACTTTTAATTAGCCTCACTTAACTTTCGAGAATTCTGTTTCTTCTAACAGTGAATGTCCCAGCCGGCTCACAATGCGCCTTTCTTTGGCAGTTCACCTCCTGAGGAAGTGCAGTCTGGGAACCCGACCCAGCTTTCATGCCCTTCTCCCTCCCGTCTCCTCTGCGCCAGTCCCACCTGTGTTTGGCACAGAAAAAGAAAACAAACAAACAAATAAGCAAACAAAACAGTTGCTTCTGAGCGGATTCATTTGAGCCATGGCCACCACAGGGGTTTCAGAGAAGAGCTGTGCTTTGGGACTGAATTTCCATTGGCTGTGACATTTCAGAAATCCACTGCCTGGTGTTCTTCGAATGCCCTCAGGGTCGCATCAAACTGCCACAGTTAGCTGTGCTTGACCATGTGCTTCACCTAGGACCTCCCCGAAGATGAGGAAGAAGGGGAAACCATCTGCCCAGGCTACTGTTCTACACCCTTGTTTGTGTGGCTCTGAATGTTCTGCAAAGGAAGTTCCCTGGTCACCAGTCCCCCTTGTGAATGGGGTAGCTACATACTCCTCAGATGTGCCAGCTGATGCCCTGCTCCTTTCTCTGATGTAGGCATTTCTTTGCCCCAAAGGCTTACCACTTCTGACTGATGAGCTATAACTCTCATCTCCCTGTGGCTGGCTCACAGAACTGCAGACAGGCACATTCGGGAAGCATCTTTTGCATGTCATTGAATGGCACAGTTGAGGATAAAGGTCTCGGCTCTATTTCTGTCGGACTGTCCCCACCCCTCCCCATCCCTCAACATGCAGATCAAGCTACCTTGCCCCAATTACTTGCCACCCACCCCCTCACACACACACACAGCAGTCAAGGGCAAGTTAACAGGTCTGCTGGCTAAAGGATGACCTGCGCCTTAGAGCATGGGAGAGCAGTGGTCCACTATTCTGTTTGGCACCTTTCAGTAGACAGAGTGGCTGCTTCTCTGAACTTACAAGGTGGTAGGTAGATTCAGTTCCTTTTACTGTCAGCTGCAATCTAAGACAGCAGCCGGACTGCTCACCAAGTGTCCTGATGTGTATACATTCAACTCAAAGGCTCTAGAGTGGTCTTTTGATCTAAATGAAGTCTTGTCATTTTCAGAAGAAGGAATCGACATTGTCTTTTAGGAATTTGGAAGCGTGACGAATATAAAATCTGGGCCTCGTAACAAAAACAGAAAAAAAGGAGCACTGTGGTTACACATTGGGTGGCTAACCGCAAGGTTGGCTATTTGAAACCACCAGCCACCCTGTGGGAGAAAGGCAGGACTTCCTATTCCTGTAAAGAGTTACTGTCTGGGAAACCCACCGAGGCGGTTCTACCCTGGCCTTTGAGCCACTCCCTATTGGTTGGGATTGACCCAATAGCACTGAGAAAGATGGAAAGATGGACAGGGAATACAGCCATATAGCATCAGAAAGTCACAAGTCCTAAATTTTAGGGGGACAGTGTTTGATTTTGCTTTCAGTTGACAAAATAAGTTTCCTTTAACTTGATCATCATAACCAATGTATGCTAGGACATAGCACAGGCGAGAGGAGTCCCTGGGTGGCACAAATGGTTAAGTGCAGTACTACTAACCAAAAGATTGCTGGTTCGAACTCAAGGCACCTTGGAAGACAGGCCTGCTGCTCTGTTCCCAAATGGCCACAGCCTGGAAACCCGTGAGGAACAGCTGAGCTTCGCGCCAGGAGT